TCTGTGCCCCATTGTATTAGTTTCCCAATATATATCTGGATGATTTGCACTTTAGATGATTTTGTTAGTTGTTTAAAAAAAGCCTCATCCATCTTTTCCACCTGGGTAGGTGGGCTGTAGTAGACCCCTAGCATGACATCACCCTTGTTTTTCACCCCTTTTAGCCTAACCCAAAGACTCTCAGCATGTCCGTCTCCTACATCCATCTCCACCTCAGTCCATGTGTGTACATTTTTAATATATAAGGCAACACCTCCTCCATTTTTACCCTGCCTGTACTTCCTGAGTAAGCTGTGCCCTCCTATACCAATATTCCAATCATGTATATTATCCCACCAGGTTTCTGTGATGCCAACAATGTCATAGTTGTATTTAGTTATTAGCACTTCCAGTTCTTCCTGCTTATTACCCATACTTCTTGCATTTGTATATATGCATCTAAGATACTGATTTGATCTTGCCTTCCAGTTTTGCCTTGTCCCTCCTTTCTCTCTGCTATTATAGTCCACACTCCCTCCCATTTCCAACCCATCTCCCAAGTCTCCATGTTCTTCACTTACCCATGGGCTTTGATCACCTGTCCCCATCTAGCCTAATTTAAAACCCGCCTCACTAGGTTAGCCATCTGTATCTAAATACGGTCCTCCCCTTCCTCAAAAGGTGAACACCATCCCTGCTTATCAGTCCTTCCTGGAATAGCATCCCATGGTCGAGGAAGCCAAAGCCCTCTTGGCGACACCATCTTCACAGCCAGGAATTCACCTCCAGGATGCACCCGTCTCTGCCTGGGCCCCTACCTTTGACAGGAAGGATTGAAGAGAATACCACCTGTGCTCCAAACTTCTTCACCCGTATTCCCAGAGTCCTCTAGTCACTCTTGATCCGCTCAGTGTCACACCTCGCAGTATCATTAGTGCCCACATGGATGAGTAGCATGGGGTAGTAGTCAGAGGGCCAGATAATCCTTGACAATGCCTCCATAACATCTCGGATTCGGGCCTCCAGCAGGCAGCGTACCTCCTAAGATGACATGTCAGGGCGACAGACAAGCGCCTCCGTCTCCCTCAGAAGAGAGTCTCCAACCACCGCTACCTTATGTTTCCTCTTCGCAGTGGTGGCAGTAGACCTCCCAGCCCTGGGGGTACGAGGCTTCTCCTCCTCTGTTGTAAGGGGTGATTCCTTCTCTCCTGTATCAAGAAGAGCATAACGGTTTCCTAGTACCATGGTGGGAGGGTTCGGAGCAGGGGTGGAGCACTGCCTACTGCCAGAAGTAACCAGCTGTCAGTGTCCACCCTGAGCCATCTCCTCCACCACCAGTGGAGTGTCAGCAGTACTGTGTACTGGAACAGCTACCTCAGCTGTCTCCACATGAACACAGTCCAGGAATTACTCGTGGATTCGGATGCTCCTCAACCTAGCCACCTCCTCCTGTAGCTCTCCCACCTGCTGCCTGAGAGATTCCACCAGCAGGCACCTTTCACATTGGATGGTCCCCCCAGCCTGGATATCAGTAAGTGGGAATTGCAAGCCACAGTCCCTGCCAAACCACACCAAGATCTGGGCAGAGGCATCCATGCTCAGGCATTCTGTCCGGCTACAGGTGCAGGTGGAGGAGAAAGAAGCAGTGTTGACACAGGTGTTGCGGGTCTTCCTGACCATCGTAGGCCTCTCTATGTCAAACTCCCTCTTAAACTCCCCTGTCTGCAGCCCCCCTGTCTGCTTTGCTCCCCTGGTCGCTCTGCCTCTGGCTTTTAAAGCCTCCTCGCCTAGGTCAGGCCTAGCCTCAAAGGCCTTTGACTCTTAGTTATATTTACTTCAAAGTAGCAGTACTTTTATTCAAGTAACTTTTTTGGGTACTTTTTCCACCACTGGCATCCCCTCCCCCATCATTTGGTCCTAGTCATGAGTCATAATAGGCTAGAGCCTAAGAATAAGAAGATAATATAAATTACCATTTTTGTATATTTTGTCTCTGTATATTAAAAAAACTTTCTGTGGGATGACAGAGTGACATCATCATGTCACTCTGCATCCCGCCTGCCTCCATGCTCCCTCCCTCCTTCCCCCTTCCCCAATGCTTGGCTGCCACCTGGGGGCCTTGGGAGGCCCAGAACAGCCCCACTCCCCGGTGTTCCGGAAGGGGGCTGAAGCCACAAGCCACATGGACCGGGACCCACGCAGCCTTTCCCTTCCCTCCCTCCCCAGTGCTCCAGGGGGTCTTCCCCTCTCCAAAACCTCCCCATTCCAATGATCCAGAGGGATGGGAGCTGCACCCCCCTCCATGCACCCCATACCTCTCACACACACCCTAGATTGGGGGCAGATCTGGGCCAGCCTTGCCCCAGCCCCGCTTCCTGGCGGGCCGGTGCAGGGGAAGAGGCTGGGTGGGCAAGAGTAGGGGTGGCCTTGGGGTCAGGGGCAGAAGGGATGAGATGGGGCTAGTGGGAGGGAAGAGACTGGGGGGGGCAAGAGCAGGGGCAACCTTGGGGTTGGGGGCAAGAGAGGAAGATCCGGGGCCAGGACAGCCTTGGACTTTCCCTGGTGGGGGAGAGCCTTGGCCTCAGCCTAACCCCTGGTGGCCAGAGGGAGAGAGCCAGGCCAGGCTGAGGCTGGCCCAACCCCCCCGCCGCTGGAGGGAAAGTGCCGGGCCAGCCTCGGCATGGCCCAACTGCCCCAGAAGCTGGGAGGAGGGAAGAGTCAAGGCTGGCGTAGCCTCAGGAGGGCCTGGTGGCCAGGAAGAGAGAGCTGGGGCAGGCCAGGCCTGCCATGCCTTGGCCTGGCCCACCTTGGCAGCCGGGGGGAGGGGGAGAGGAGCTGGGGCTGCCTACCCCCAGACAAGAGGTTGGCAAGTATAGCGAGCAGGGGGCACCATGCCCTAGTAATATATAAAATAAAGTTAATGAAATCTATAAAACAAATAGAAATAATGGTTCTTTATGTAATTGAATGACCAATTCAATTACATCTAATTTTCTGTCCCAACCAAGAACTGGAAAATGTTTGCTGAGTTGCAGAGCCTTTTTGAAATCAACGAACCACAAATGCATGAACAGTCGTGCTAAATAGCCAGGTATATGGTTACAATTATTGAGAAACTGCAATTGTACTCACCTGGTTGCCATAGAGATAGGTTACAACCAATGTTACCAAATGCTCCCACTGTGTAACAGAACACCTGTATCACATGTGTAGACTAAAGCATTTAGAAATGAAAAACTTAATACCTACCTTAGGTACAAATTTCCAGAGCATCTACTATAAGTCTGGCAGTGGTCTAGGAAATGTAACCATTCACCTACAAATGATATTAGGGAGTATTTATACTATAGCCTTTTAAATATTTTGTCTGCTTTAATGAATGAAATAAGTTCTTCTTTTTCTGCTGAAGTTTGTTACATTCAAATACAGTGTGAAAATTAGCTATACAATATTATTCTTCACCTTGTGAAGCTAAGAAGATCATGTAGTGTTCTGAAAGAATCTACAATACTTTATGTGATGAAGTACAAGCGAACAGGAATGGATTCAAAGAAAGGGGCTTTTGTTGGGGTCGTCCGTGAGTACAGATGTGTGAGAAATTAATTATACTCTGTGAGGTGAAGAAAAAGAAATGAAATTGCATTGCATAGTAAATTTCATTTTGTCTAAAGAAAAGTTATCCATTTAAATACCCATGTTTGTCTTGTGTTTCTAGCAGATAGATTGTATATGTGCTCATAAAAGTTCAAAATATCTCTAGAAAACTTCCTTAAGTCAGTGATAGCAGTAACAGTCCTTGGTGTGTGAGACACATGTTTTGGGTCCTGTTATTCTAGTGTATAACATTATTCTGCTATTGATAGAGGCATGTATTGTGGAAGAGTGCGTTCCTAGTGTCATTATTGAAGTAATAGATAGAGGCCCCTGTCAAGATTAGGTCCCCTTTGCACTGGGCTCCATATGCACATATAATGAAAAGACGGTCCTTCACCCAAAGAATTTATAGTCAAAGGTTCTGGAAATTTTACCATTGGAATAGAAGTAGGCCAATACTAAGTACCTTTAAAAGTCCCACCCATAATCAGGATTGGCCTTAGAACTGCAGGGGCCAAGTTGCTGAGTTGCCATTTGCCAGGAACAAAAAGGGTCATTATATGTTTTGGGACATCAATATATGAATTGGCTTTGCCAGAACCGTTTCAAAATAAGTGATTGAGAATTACAAGCTTTATACATTTAGAATACTAACTTCCTCTCCCTTTCTAGCATCTGAACTCTGCATTACTCCTTATCTCTATATCTATTTGTTCAATACACAGCACTCAAATAATGCTTATAAAATAATGCCTACAACAGTGAAAGCAACCAAATAAGCTTTCTTGTAAAGTGTTCAGTGTGCAATTAAAGGAATTTTTGAATTCCAGCTCATTAGAAAACATATTTTTCTTAAGATGACCAATAGAAAACCACACTACACTCAGACTGCTCTAAAAGTTGTGCTGGCTGCAATGGTGAGACAGCAGCAATTACAGCATTTGCAGATTGCTGTTTCTTCTCCAAAGGCAGCTATATGGCTAGTTGACTAGTTAAGGTGCCTTTACTGCAGTAGTGAGGAGAGAATCCAACTCTACGGTGTAGAAAAATCCAGCTTCATGTTATTCTGATCTTGGCCCCTGTTATGCAATAAAATAAGTGCTTTTAGTAGCGAAGTACATTGGCTTCGCTACTACTTCACTCATTTTGTAAAGACAGATAACCTCATACTATAGACTGAGTCACATCCTTTCCCAGTAATTTGATATTTGTATAGCTTTAGTGACTTCAGCTGAGTTGATCCTGATTTATACCAGTGTAACTGAAAGGAGAATCAGGCTCTTTATGTATATGTTTCCCACTAATGACTATTGAAGTTTTTGTGGAGAAGGACTGTAGGATCAGTTCTAGATGTATGCTTATGTTTTTACTTAATAGATTGCTAAATATATTTAAATATGAGTTGGTTTTCTTATGTATTACAGAACTTGATATATACAATAGTAAAAGCGCTACATGAAAGCTGAGAACCAATGAAATGTAAATGGAGTATAATCAAGACATACAGATTAGGACAAGTAAAACCAGACAAACTGACCATCTGAAAAGCCAAGTAAATAACATATTCACAGATAACTTTGACTATCCTGAGGATGCAACTGAGGAAGAGCAAGAAGATTTACCTTATGATGGAGACCTAAAAAAACCTTCTCACCACAATAATGAATCCAATAACTTGAAAGCTTATGTTTCTGTAGAAAACATTTCTGATAACTTCTTAAATTTAACCTGTTCTGAAATGAACAGAAATTTAAATGAAGAAATAAATTACAAAACACAATACCTACCTCAAGAAAAAGTCTTCAGTCACTGTACATCTGCCACAAGAACAAATGAAATAACAACTGAAAAGGCAATAGAAGCTCCTGTGTGTGGTACGTCTTTGGAGATGGAATTATCAGTTGGAGCATGTAGAATCCCAGACAGGAAGGAACATTTCATCAACTCTAAAATTTCTGATCTTCTTTTGCATCACTTTTCCAAAGAAGAGTTATCAAACACAAGCCAACTGATTGATTGTGAGACTATCCCAGAGTTATCCTTTGCTGAAAGTGTGGATGAAACTGTCCTCACTAAAACTAGAATTTCAGAATGCACTAAGGCCACTTTTCTAACAGAACAGTGGGCAAAACATTTTGAAGATGATTGCTTAAACATACAAGAAGAAATATATCAAGATGACTGCAAATATAAACATTTACTAGATGACAATAAATGTGTTATAGATGACAGGGCTACTTCTTATGGTGAAGAGAGAGACTGCATACAAGAAAATTCACAGCTGACAGCTGAAAATGAAGATGCAAATAATTTCCAAAACATAAGAAAAAATCACACTAATCAAAAAGGTTTGTTTGAAAGAACAGGTTCATCTCACGAACTCAAATATGGCCAAGGCCAAGTTAATTATTGTCTTCCTGACTTCTCTAAAGTTGCATCAAAGGTCAAAATACCAAAAAGAAATAACAATGATAAATCAGCTCCCAAAATGAAAAGAACCAAATTCTCACCTAATTTGGTTGGTAAATCAGCAATTGTGAAAGATGTTTTAGAAACTATGAATTATTTTGATTCTGTTAAAGTAAAGAATCAAGAAGAAGAAGGAATGAAAATTCCTGAACTTTTACAACAGATAGAGGTAAATGAGATATTTTCAGATATAAGTCCAGAATTTAATAAAATAGTCCAATGGAAATGGAAGAGACTACGCAGCAAAGCCTAAGATGAGTAATTCTTTATGCAAGTGGTCGCATTGAAGTCAGCAGTTCTACTAATATAATTAAGAATTACTTACATGAATAAAGATTCATAAGATTGAACTTTCTGTCCATAATGTTCATAAACCTGATATATTTTATGAAGTTATGAACTGATACATTCATGATTAATAAGTTATTTCCTTTCAACATATTATTAAATTGTATATAGTCAGTTTCATTGTTTAAGTCTTACATACTTGCAATATGTTGTTTCTAATGCTGTAGGAAAATGTTTAAATTCCTGCCCAAATTTACTTTAAATGAAATGTTAATATCTTAAAGATTTTAATAGTGTGTTTGACCCAGCTTCCATTTATGTCAATGGTGATTTTGCCAATGGATCTTTTAAGATTTATAAACATCTTGGACGGTCACCTGTGCTACATGATTCTCTTTAAATTATTTGTTCCAATATTTTAGGATTTCCTTTATTCTGGTTGTAAATAGATGACTTAATGGTCACTTTAGATATTTAGACTCAGTCATTAGGACTGCCAATATGTGTAAAGCTATACTCATGCTTACAACTTTGTAGGATCAAGGCCTTAGTATATAAGGAAGACTTATTACAACACACTAATAATTTTTTCTTTATTATTTCTTGATTAATACAAGTTGCTGACCAAACATGCTGAGGATCAGAATTGTATTGATCATTGGAGGTTTGATGCTAAGGTAAGTCTTCCTGAATATTATAAAATAATTTAAATTATTTAGGAGAGCTTTTTCTTAGTACAATATATTTTCTCTCTAAGAATCTGATATGAATCATATAATTTACTGAACCACCTTTTATATAGTTGTTTCTATTTATAGAACTTCTCTAAAGATAGATTTGACTAAGTAACTTGAGGTTTTTAGATGTCTAAAGCAATGAGAATAGTTGAACTAGAAACATACATTTTCATAACTTGATATATTTATGGGAAATAAACACAGATACTTTAATGCTTTTCAGTTAATAAAAAGAGAAAAATACTTTATACTGTGTTCTTTATGTGTAATTTAAATTATATATATATATATATATACAGTATTAAAATAGTTTTCTTTTAGTATTTCAAGTGAATATTTTATATATAAAGCTGTGCTTTTATTTTGAAATACTCTTTTGTATATTTGAACAGATATATCCTCATTCAGATTCTCCTAATCCAAATCTTTCCATTCACTCAAGATGTATGGGTGCAGCTTCTGAAGTGTCTATATTTCATCCCCTTTCGGTTCCTATCCAGCCTATGGTTGGTGTGTCCCAATCATCTTTTTCAGGTAGTTGAAATTACAGTGGTTATACAAATACCAAAAGGTTCTTTCTTTTACTTAATTGTACACTTTGTTATTCTGTTCCATAATCTGGAAAGCTGTATATACAAATTCTAGTTAGTACTAGATTCATTATTTTTATTATGTTATATAGGATTACAAGATGGGAGAATGATTTCATCATTGCCATCAGCCACTGCAGCAGGAGAAATACATTGTTCAAATCCTAACTCAATGGAAAATACAACAAAAGGAGAAAAGATGTCTCAGATGCTAAAGGAACAGGCAGAGCAACTGAAAACTAAAGTAATATGAAAGAGACTTGTTTCAAAACCTACTTAATATTGATACTGCAGTTGTTGTTTTTATGATGTCTAAGATCCCCAATAAAATTTATAAACTTTCTATTGAAGGTAGAAGAATTTTCTAAATGTGTAATACAGGAGACCTTACCTTTGCAAGATCGCTGTCTGGTAAATTATTTTTTGTACATGTATTGCAGTGATATGTTGTGTGCTTTAAATGGCTTTGGACAAATGTTTATTATTATTTAGTGTTGTTCAGAAAGATATATTTAATAATAAATTAAGCCCTTTTCTCCATTCCAGAATTAAGTTACAGTCATGAAAAGGGCTACGGTCAAGTTTGAGATTGACAATATGTGTCTGAATCCCCTAGACTCCTTTGAAAATCTCAACTCAAACTATTTATGAAGGCAGCCCTTACTCAGGGAAATAGCCACTGAAGTTGTTATGAGTTTTGTTTGAGAAAAACTTGAATTAAGGATCAAGACCTCACAATGTAACTCTCTATTTGTACATCTTCTATAGACCACAAAGAGTTAATAATTGTTCTGTCCAATTATATTGTTGAATGATTACATGGTAAAGTCATTCACTATTAAATCTCTTTTATTGGTGAAGGCATTACAGGAACTAAAAGGATGCCTTGATACATTGGAACGGAATTATTTAGCCACTAAGGAAAAGCATCGTGGTTTACAGCTACAGAACTACAATCACAAATCCACAAGCATTGGCAAGTTTGATCCTGACAGGTCAGAGATGCCTGCAAATAATATGTATGTCTATCTGTGCTCTTTAGCCATTATTAATGAATTTATCCTCACAATATTTCTCTAAGGTACAAAAGTAATATTATATCACATTTTTTACCTGAGGGCCTCGTCAATTTTTTGAGGCCCTGGCGATGCCAGTTGGAAGTAGAAATTGTTTGAGTTTGGTACTCACTTTGATGCAGTCTTGTTCAGTTAAAAGGAATATGAAAAGTTCTGCTTCTTAAAACAAAGGAAGCGTTTAGAACAAAAGAAGCAGTTTTGTAGCTTACAACAAAGCCTCTTCAGACAACAGACCCAAAAGTGCTCTCTTATTTGTCCAGGGTCACATAGTGTTAACAGGTGCTAACAAGGCTCTTTCATTTCTTCAAGTATTTTCCCCCTTTTTAAACTATTTAAAATGAAGTGGTGATTTAAATAATCGCAGCTTCATTTAAATTTACATGGCTGCCACGCTGAGCCGACAAACAGCTCGTCAGCTGTTTGTCGGCTCAGCGCGGCAGCCATGTAAATGTAAATGAAGCCACAATCATTTAAATCGCGGCTTCATTTGCCTTTGCCTATTGCCTAATTTACATGCCTCTGACGACAGAGGCATGTAGTCTAGACACACCCTCAGACTCTTCTTATTAATTCTTAGTTTTGTACAGGAAGCTTTTCACAGAGTCTAACCTAGGGATGTGAAAGGTTAAGCAGCTAACTGGTGAGCATCACCTTAAATAGATAATGCTTACCGTTCCAGTTAACCTGTAGGGGCTGGAAAAGCTCCTTGCTTGCCCTGGACATGGGGTTGCTCCAGCCCTGCAGGGCCCACCACGGCCAGAGCAGCCCCTGTTTGTTGTGGGCCCAGCCCCCCACCGCAGGTTATACTGCTGGTTTCCTGGAAGTGGGGCTGGCAGGGGCTGCCAGCCCTGCTCCTGAGGAGGCAGCTTCCTTGCAGCAGCAAATCCTCCCCAGTAGTTGGGCTGGCAGGGGCTGGCAGACCTGTTCCTGGGGAGATTTAACTGTGGGCTCTGCAATAATAAAGCTTATTTAAACTTTATATGCAGTATAAAGTTTATTTAAGGTTTATACTGCAGACCCTGCAGCGTGTAACCTTGTAACCGCTAGGTTACCTTTTAAAACTTACTTTTACATCCCTAGTCCAACCTAAATGGCCATTTCTGCTATTTAAGCTCATTTCTTCTTGTCCTGTCCTTAGAGATTAAATAGAGTAATTCTTCTTCTTCTTCCTTGTAGCAGTCTGTTAGGTACAGTACTTAAAATTGTTATCATGTCCGCTTTCTGTCTTCAGACTAAACAAACCCAATATTTTCAAATTTCCCTCATGGCTTATGTTTTCTAAACCTTTAATCATTTTTGTTACTCTTCTCTAGACTTTCTCCAATTTGTTCACCTCTTTCCTGAAATGTGATGCCCAGAACTGGACACAATACTCTAGTTGAGGCCTAAAAAGCACGGAGCAGAGAAACATTCCTTCTAATAAATCCCAGAATGATGTTTGCTTTACTTTGCAGCAGTGTTACACTTTGACCCTTGCCTCTGTTTGTCTGGAAATGGGTGACAGGAGAGGGATCACATGAGGATTATCTGTTGTGTTCCCTCTGTATGGGACATCTGGTATTGGCCATTGTCAGCAGACAAGATACTGGGCTAGATGGACCGTTGATCTGACCCAGTATGGCCGTTCTTGTGTGTGTGTCTGTGTGTAAAGTGGAGCCCCAGCTAGGGGCTGAGGCTGAGGCCAGATGCGGGACTGGAGCAGGGCTGGGGGTTGAGTGGGGCTGAGCTGCACTTCCACCCTGCCTTCAATGGGAGTTGCACCACCCCAAACCCAGAGGGCCATGCCCTATACTTTAGGGAGTTTATGATTTTATGTGAGATAGTATCGAAATCCTTACTAAAGTCAAGATATACCACATTTACTGTTTCCTCTCATCCACTTGGGAGTCATAGAATCATAGTACCATAGAACTGGAAGAGACCTCAGAAGGTCATCAAGTCCAGCCCCCCGTTCTAGGCAGGACCAATCCCAACTAAATCAACCCGGCCAGGGCTTTGTCAAGCCGAGACTTAAACACCTCTAGGGATGGAGACTCCACTACTTCCCTAGGTAACCCATTCCAGTGCTTCACCACCCTCGTAGTGAAATAGTTTTTCCTAATATCCAACCTGGCCCTCTCCCACCACAACTTGAGACCATTGCTCCATGTTCTGCCATCTGTCACTACTGAGAACAGCCTCTCTCCATCCTCTTTGGAACCTCCCTTCAGGAAGTTGAAGGCTGCTATCAAATCCCCCCTCACTCTTCGCTTCTGCAGACTAAACAGACCCAACTCCCTCAGCCTCTC